GCCTTCACAAGAGAAGGCTGAGGGGGGACCTGGTGACCATCTATAAACTCACTAGGGGGGGACCAGAAGGGTTTGGGAGAGACCTTGTTTCCCCTAGTGCCCCCTGGCATAACAAGGAATAATGGCCACAAGTTGTTGGAGAGTAGGTTTACATTAGACATCTGTAAGAATTACTTCACAGTCAGGGTGGCTAGGATCTGGAACCAACTTCCAAGGGAAGTGGTGCTGGTTCCTACCCTGGGGGGGGTCTTTAAGAGGAGGCTTGATGCCTACCTAGCTGGGGTCATTTGTGCCCAGTTTTTTCTCCTGTCCAGGCAGGGGGTCGGACTTGAAGATCTACAAGGTCCCTTCTGACCCTACTTCTATGATTCTAGGGTAGCGGCACTATTTTCTAAAAGTTATGTTAGTGAGTCCATCTAAGATTCAAAATATTTTGATAAAGCTCACTCTAGTAAGACACAGTAGACCATGTCATCCTTTATGTATTTTAGCTTTTTTAAATGGTCAGTAAATTATAAAATTAACTAAATAAAAGTGAGATTTTAGCAGTATCACAAGTGGACGTAAGTGAGGAAAATCAACAGTATGAGTTTGTGTCCATCTGCAGTGTTCTCAGATCGGTATTGCTGCCCGAACCTTGTGGTGCAAGAAATTTATGAAACCAGGGTATCAGCCCAACTTAAACTTTTTGAATGTCTGTGTTTATAGACCAGGGGTGGGCAAAATATGGCCCGCAGGCCGGATGCAGACCACGAGGCCATTCTCTCCGGCCCGCAAGGCCCCTAAAAAAATGTAGAAAATATTTCTCTGCCCTTGGTTCCTGTCAAAAGTGACAGGAACCAAGGGCAGGAGGACCCAGGGGAAGCCTGGCGGGCTCCAACAACAGTGGAGCTGCCTGGCCCCACCCCCTAGCCAGAAGCCCCAACCCTGGAAGCACGTGGCTGCCCTGGCGCAGGGGGCGGGGTGGGGAAAGCCCTGACAGGGAAGGAGAGCAGGGCGGGGGGAAGCGGCCCCTCCCTGCCCCATGCTGCAGCTGCTTGTAGCCCGAATGGGGCTGCCTGTGCCTCCTCTGGACAGCCCCGTGTGGGCTGCGAGTGCCTGCAGCAGGGAGGGGCTGCTTTCCCCACCCCACTGCGTTCAGCACCACCTTGTAACCTGGCCCCACTGCCAGGCTGACAATAGGGCGGATTACAAGCTGGTGCTGAGCGCGGGGAAAAGTGGCCCCTTGCCCACCCCATGGCCAGCCATGGGGTGGGTGAGGGGCCATTTTTCCCTGTGCTCAGCACCAGCTACTTCCCTGCTGGCAAGCAGGGGGTTGAGGCTGTGCGCTGCCCCCTGCCTGTACTGCAGGGCTGGGGGGGCACTGGGTATGAGTGGGTAGGGAGCCAGTGAGAGCATGGGGCCTGCACTGGTGTCCCAGGGCCAGCTTCCCCCTCCCTGCTGGTGCAGCCCAGCCCAGCTCCACGGACCCCTGCCAGGCTGTGCCCTGCTCTGGGCCCCACTGGTGCTCGCCTTGGGACATTGGTCCCAAGTTGGTGACCAGGGGGCGGGGCACTTGTCAAGGGATGGGGCTACCCATGCAGCCCTCGACGGCCTGCCAAAACTGGGTAAGCGGCCTTCCTCCGCAAATAATTGTCCGCCCCTGTTATAGACACTTCTAAGGTTTGCAGGCTTAAAATTTGATGTATTCCGTGTACATATTGGCTATAACTCAGCACTCAGCTTTTGATGGGTTTCCAAGGTGGTGATGCAGACAATAGAAAAATGTTTTTAAAATCTGGAAAGTTCCAGATTAGATGCTCTTTTAAAACTTAATTTGCAGCCTACTGAGTCCTTACTTTAAAGATGGCAAAGGCGACGTCTGGAAATTGGGAGGTACAGATTTCTTACCCAGTCCAATCCTTGACCAGCTCTAAGAACTTAGCCAAGTCCGTCTTTGTACCTGTTTCCTCTCTGTCCTTTGCCTGCTTCACTTTTATTTAGCTTGTAAGCTCTTTGGCTAGGGACAGACATTCAAAAAGCCTGAGTCTGAATTGATTCAATCTTTGCAGATTAGTGTAACCTGACTGGGCTGAACTGGTTTGAAACTGGACAGACCTTCTCTCTGGACTGAGGAAATTCAGGCACATGCCTGCAGTAACTCAGGCTTGAAGCCAAGGGGTGCTAGAACAGCTCTCCCTTCCTTTCTACAGGGAGCTGAGCTGAGGGGGGTGGGGGCATGCCCTGGCCAGGTCCCAGCAGGACTCTCTTATTAGGGAGGTCTGCCTGCACGGTCCCAGGCTTTTTGCTGCTGGCTGCTCAAGGGGTGGGAGTGTTGCCAGCCCCCAGCTAGCACTCAAGGCAAGGGTGTGTGTGGAGTGCATGCATCTGTTGATGATAGGGAGCTTTTCAACCTCCCTCCCTGCTTCATCATATTGTCTGCAGCAAACTGACAGGTAAGCAAGCCGGAGGGGGGTGCAGGGGCTGATAACAGTCTTTATCACCTGATTAGCAAAACAATAGCCTCTCTCCACATTACATCAAACTACTTAAACAGCTTACTGGCTGACCTGTTGATTAGCTGATCAACAGCTCTGATTTAATTAAAACCAGCAAGGGGTCTGTGACAGACATTGCATAAACTGGTTTGACCCAATTCAGTTAAATCTGATACGACATTCAACCAGGTTTATCTCAAACTGGTTTTAGCCATTTTCAAACTGGTTTATGTGCACTGAACATCTGTTCTGTTACAGGTTTAAAGCAGTTTCTGATCACTTGAACCGGTTTATATGTAATGTCTGTCTCTAGCCTTTACGACAGACTTTCTCATTGTGTCTATAAAGTGCCTACTCTGATATAGCCCCAATCTCCACTAGTACATGTAGGCACTAATGTAATAGAAAAAATAAGTACTATGACCCAGATGTATGGTACATATTTCCTTCCCCATCTACTGTGCACTCCCACCAGCATCCAAAAATCCACTGATTGAACATGTACATGCATGGTTACTACTAGGGTTCTTGAATTAAGCTTCATTGTTTTGGAGTTACCATCATATTTAATTCAGTCATATCCTATAGAGATTAAGAAACATTTTTAGTTGAAACTCAGTATCTAAAATATTGGGTAATACTACTTTTAAAAGGGAATGCTCTGTAAGAGATCAGGTATCCACATCAACCAAAGAGAGATACAAAACTCTTCAGTATATTGGGCCTCTCGCCTTAATTGTTGTCCCTGTCACTGTTGCTGCCTATGGAAGAAAATGGTCTGAGGCCATAAAAGGGCGTGAGTAGTTGGAGGCACTTCCTTTGGCATTAGGTTTCCTTGATAGACCACCAGAAATCAAAAGTGGCAAAATCAGGATATGGTACAAGACCCTTAATTTTT